ATTTTCAATTATATATAAATAAATATCAAAAATTTTTCTTTTTTTTTCCCTAGCTAACTATAAACATTGTTGACAATTTATTTGTTTTTAAATTTCCTATAACAACAAATATACAATATACAAACAAATTATATCCTATAATAAAACAACATAATATATATATACACACAACATAATATATCCTATAATAAAACAAATTATAATTATTTGCTTTTCCTATATTTATTAATTTAAGCATAATTATAAATATATAATTATATAAAATAAATAAAAATTATTTAAAAATTTTTTTTAACTAAATAAGAATTTTAATTTTATTATTAATATTTTATTTATTATTGAATTTCTAAAATTAGTTTCATTTTGTAAAAATAAATAAACCTCTAATTCCTTTTTTTTCAAAATTTATATAAACAAAATATTTTTTTAAAAAATAGATGTCTTTTTTTATCATAAATTTCGTTTTCGTTACATATATTTTTGCTTTAATTCTTATTAAAATTTCAATTATGAAAATACATAACAAATATTACTTATTATTATTTTACTTACTTACTTATTATTATTTTATTTATTATATTATTAAATACTTTGTTTTTAAATATTTTTAGTGTTACTATTTGTATTTTAATTAAATTGCACGTGAATTTTTTAGTTCATTGAATTTTCAATAATTTTTTAGTTCATTGAATTTCAATAATTTAGATTTATTAAATATTATTTTTTTCTTTCTTTTTTCTTTTGTTATCTTCTTCAATTTTTTATTGAAATTTCTTTATTTATTTACTTTTGTTTTTTCTAATTTTTTAAATCAGTTTCGCAATAGCAATAACAATAACTACTTTCAACAATATTGCAGGAATATTATTTATAAAATGATAATTAATATATTTTTTTTTATGCTAATTGTGATCTTAATTGTAATAATTCTTAATTTTTAAAAATGATTGCCAAATTATTATATTTAACATAGTCATTAAAAATCATATTGATATCAAACCTTTTTTATATATAGAAATTTTCTATTCTATAAAAATATTCAGATATTTTTCATAAACTATAAATTTCTTATTATTTCCTAATAGTTTTAATAACTGGAATTAATGTTATTTTCTTATTAAATAAATGTAAATATATAATAAATA